ATGGTCGGTCTGTGCCTTTCAGGCCGGGCGTGAGCGTTCGTCTCGTCTGTCKTTTTCCGTTCTTTCTTCTTCGCTTTCTTTGTCACCACCGTCTGCCAGGCGGCGGCCGGTTCCACTCGCGGGGTCCTTTTCTGTGCGGACTCCGGAGTGGTCCCGGTCGTCTYCCTTTTCCGTTTTGTTCGTGGCGTCACCCGTTTTTTCGTCTCTGTCTCTGTATCCGTGGTTGTGTCGCCGTCGTTGGTCCGTTGCCTCGGAACCGCCGTGGCACACATATCAAGCGCGACATCAGCGGCTTCGAGGATSGTCTTTATACCTGTCTTGACGGTTATATTCATGTTTTTTTGGATGGTCGCTGCCTCTGYCATCTTTGTTGCTGTCGTCTGTATTATTGTCAGCAGTTCCGTCAGGTCTCGTTTCTGTAGCGCTGTGATGTCCAGTCTTTGTTGTCTTGCTTGTACCGTTTTTGAATTTGCCTGTCTGTCGTCGTTGTCGGTGAAAGAGTTGTAGCTCGATGCGCTTCCTGCGCTCGATACACTCACCGTTCTATTACGTGTCTGCAGGTCTAGGAAGTTGTACCCCGCTGTTTTGTCTTTTTTCTTGTATTTTCTTGGTATATTTTCGGTTGACTTCTTGCACTTACTGCGGCCCTCAGAATCCTYGCCGCTGCCATGGGCCACCGGATCTTTCTTCCGGTCGGAACCCAGGGTGGATTGTCCCTCTGTAGGGTATACCACCTGAGGTATATCGAAGTTTTGTTTGTGCATTTCATCGGTTTTCTTTGTTCCGTGCTGCGTCGGGTTCCTCGGGGTCGCGGTTCCCGTGCCGTGCCGGAACCTTGCACGGCCCCTGAGGGAGTGTTTGTGTGTGCCCGTGTTAGCCTGCTGGTTCATTCATTCTGGGAGAGCCTGTTTATAAGGGTCCCAACYATTCGCTTTCCAGAAGGTCCCGTTTATAGGGATTCTGGCCATTCGCTTTTCAGGGTTACCCGTTTATAGGGTCCCTGATCATTCGTATCACCAGAGGGTCGCACGAAAACACTTCCCTTTTAGTCGCCTTTTATGACAGGCAGGAAATACCTTGGGTCTATTCTACCCCGGAACCCATACAGGGAATTATTATTATTATTATTATTATTATTATTATTATTATTATTATTATTATTAATTGGCATTAGGAACTCGAAAGTTCATTGCCGCAAATACCAAATCCCGCCATTGTTCCCGTCCCTAAACGCGATCCTTCCATTCGCGGTCTTCGTATCCTATTTCTTTCAGGTCCCTTCTAACATTATCCTCCTATCTACGTCTCTGTCTACCTAGTGGTCTTTTCCCGTTTGTTATAGCGACCAATATTTTGTGCGCCGTTCGATCCTCCCCCATGCGCGCCACGTGACCAGCCCATCTTAATCGACGTGATTTTACGATGTTGATAATGTCCGGTTTGCTGTACAATCGATGTACTTCAACGTTATGGAGTTTTCTCCATTCGCCCGTTTCCTCATCGCGTTTTGCACCGAAGATTTTACGAAGAACTTTGTTTTTGAAAACTCTAAATTTATTTTCGTCTCGTAACGTAAGCGACCACGATTCGCTACCATAAAGGACTACCAGCAGGATGATTGTCCTTTATATCCTGATTTTTAATCGCCTAGACAGCAACCGCGAGCTGAGTAATTTGTTAACCGAATAAAAATATGAATTGCCTAGATTGATTCTTTTCTTAAGTTCTTCGTTAATTTCGTTTGTCTGGTTTATGATCGATCCTCTATACCTAAAGTTGTTGATCCGTTCAAAAGTTTTATCCCGGACGACCAAAGTTCCAGTACTAGGCCTATTCTGAACTCTATCGGTTACCATATATTTGGTTTTTTCCGCGCTTATTTACAGTCCCAGATCTTTAGTATTGTCTATTAATATTTTTGCGTTATTAATTAATGACTCTTCATTTTCCCTTAACAAAGCAATATTGTCCGCGTATGTCAACAATTGAGTTGTCCCGTTCAACTGTAGACCATCTTTACTTTTCTGCAGTTCTTTGACAGCGAATTCCAGTACTAAATTGAACAAAAGGGATGACAATGCGTCCCCCTGTTTTAACCCGCTATGGATATTAAAATCTTTCAACATTTGGTTACCTATCTTCATTTTACCCCTAGTTTCCCTTAGGCAAAGTTGAACAAGATTGACCAATTTTCTTGGTATCCCCTGTCGTATTAGGATTTCGAGCATTTTTTCTCGTTTTACCGAGTCGTATGCTTTTTGAAAATCTATATAAAGTTGATGTACCGGTTGATTAAATTCCCATTTTTTCTCTAAGATCTCCCGAATAGCAAAGCTTTGGTCTGTAGTCGATCTATTTCTCCTAAAACCGCACTAGTGATCTCCTATTATCCCGTCCGCATACGGTACTATCCTAGCTAGTAAGATGTTTGATAGTATTTTGTAACACGTCGGTAAAAGTGAAAATACCCCGGTAATTATTACAATCCATTTTGTCTCCCTTTTTAAAGATTGGGANATTAAACCCTTGCAATTTGATCATCTAGTTTATGGAACGCCATTTGTATATGTTCAATTCACGATGGTAATTAAACATATGCATACATATTTACGTATATATAAATATTAAAATTTATGTTGCATAAACTATAAACGTTATGAATTTTTTTGTAACTTACTTTCGTTTTTAAACTTATGTAATCATCGTAGAAAATTACTCTGTCTTCATTTACTGCATATGGTGTATTACTGTCATTATCCCATCCGGAAATCCATTTCTTATCCTTTACTTCTTCACAGATCTATGCAAAAATATATATTAGTTTAAATAAAAAAAGGAGTATTAATCATGTTTAGTATTTAAAACGGATATAATTCCACATACTTCGTTATAACCCATAAATCCATTTTGACGAGTATAAGACCCATTAAAACCATCTTTTCCACAGGGCATTCCAGTAGGATTTTCACCTGGAGAAATTTTCGTATTCGAAATATATGTTCGTCCGTACATTGGTAAACCTAGAACGAGTTTCTTAGCTGGTGCTCCTAACTGTAGTAAATAGCTCACAGTAGCATTCTTAAAAAAAGATACAAAACATTTATACCGATAATAAAATTAATTTAACAGCAGGAATATTAACGCCTTGATTGTTAGCTGAAATAAATCTTAACTTGAATGTTGATCAATTATTTGAAAACATTAAAACGAAGAAAATTATTATTTACCACGCTTTCATCATTATTGCTGTATAATGGAGCATTCGGAAGAATTTTTAAATCCCATGAACCATGATAATCATATGTCATAACGTGTATATAATCGAGGTATTTTGAAATATATGAAATATTGTATCCCTTGTCGATTATTTTCTTATTTGCGCTTATAGCTGCAGTTAATATAGAATTTTGAGGCAACTGTTGTTTTAATTCCTATTTAAGAAAAATATAAAAGAAATCATTAAATGAATGAAGACATCATCATTGAAGAATGAGTCAGTATTGGAAGGATGATGATAAAATTTATAGTAAGATAATATCTTATGTTATTTTATCGAACTGTATTGTAATTTTTACAATTATTAAAAGCATTTATTATTTATGATCGTATTTATATTAATAATATATAATTATTATTAAAATAATATACTTACTTTAATCAACAAGGAGAAATTGTCTTTATCTTGTGAATTACCACCTCGTTCAGAAGGAAATTCCCAATCTAAATCGACGCCATCAAATTTGTACTTTCTTCGTAAAAAAATTATACGTGTATATATGAATATAAATTATTATAAAAGAAAAATTATATCTAAAGATTATTAATTCCATACTTAAGAAATTCTGAAATACTATTAATGAAGCTTTTTCGTTTGTTTTCATCCTGAGCAAGAATAGAATAATTCTCACTGCCTTCATTCCAACCACCAATAGCTATTGAAACTTTTAATCCTGGATAATTTTTATGAAGATCTGACATTTTTTGGTAATTACCGATTCCTGAAAAAAATATATATTGTCATATTTATTAAGCTTATGTTCATATATATTTACACATATACAATCGGGGACAAAAATAAGTGGACAGGCACTAGAAATGGTTATCCACTTACTATTGCCCTCGACTGAATCTTATTTAAATTAAAAAAATACCATCTTCTATATCAGCCCATGTATCAAGACTTTTTATTTCCCAAGTGGTTGTATTCAGGCCCGCGAAAGCGTAAATTAAATGTGTACAATGTTGTGGTTTTAAATTGTCCAATGTAAATTTACCGTTTGAAGGCCTATACCTTGCCCAACCAGCGACATAACAAGCAACAACCTTACCGTGCTTTGGAATTTCTTGACCTAAAAATTGAAAAAAATGTAATACTTTTAATTAATATTATATTTTATTACAAGCTCTATAGATAAATGTTATAGTTTTAGGAATTTCAATAAACACTTTTGTATAATTAACAACAATAAAACGTCACGAGTACGATTATCATCGAGACGATGTGTTATTAGTAGAATTATCATTATACGCTAATTTTTAATATATAATATAACTATAAAGTCTTAGACTTACGATAATATAACACATAAATTTTATCAAACACGTTATTAAAATATAGATAAAATAATATTTATTTTCCTAACAAAATTACTAGTGTTTTTTTTTTAATTCTTTTTATGTTTATTTAATACGAAAGCAATATAAGTTTATATATTGTAATTGCATCGTATATCAAAATATACTTTTTTCAATTAGATTTAAATAAAAATTATAATTAAATGAAAATAGATATATTGACAATTGATAAATCTAAAGATTAGGTTCTTTAAAAAATGTATTTATTTAAGTACAATGATTTAAAATCTGTTAAAATGTCAAATAATCTTTATTCATCAATGCATAGAAAATGTCAATGACGTTCCTGATTTTCTTTAATTTATGTCGACGGTATTCACCTTTCTCTCCGAATTTCTCGACAATGAAATATAATTGAGCAAAGTTCAACTGGTTTCGCGCTTGAAATGAATAAATTTCTTTTCAAAATCATATTGTTGTATTCGAATGGCTATAGATACAATATTAAAGATTATTAAAAATTAAAGAATATTAACGAGGAAGTATTAATCTGTTGTCAAAAAGTAACGAATGCGAGTAAGAAAATAAAATGAAATTTGAACATTTGATCAAAGGATCTGATTGTTAAATAAATATTTTTTGAAGAATTGTATATACTATGTTTAATTTACCTTGAATATTATCAATGTAGAAAAAGAAAAGCATTACAAGACATGACGTTAGATATTTCATCGGATTCATCTTTCTATATAATATACTTCTGACTCAACGCGGATGCCGAGTTATTGTCCCGTTCACTTTGACTTTCTCTTATGGATTCTCGTATCGCACTACTTTTATAAGAATAAAATATTTTATAAGATAAGATAAACTATCGAAGAAAAGGACGGAAATAAAACCTGTTGCACCGTTAAATATAAGAAACCTACTATTTTATTTTTTTAACAAAGTATAACTTTGAATATATTGAAATCAACATAGACCTGTTAATAGTTAAAAATTTTTTGTGCGCATGCCTCAAGTTTCGCCATGTTTTTCGGGCACTTTATACGTGTATAAGCAGTGTATACAATGTTTTTTTAATGTAATTAAAAAAAATTTAATTAGTAATTAATTATTAATAATCAATAAATATTCAATTATTAATAATTATTAAATATTGAAATAATGCTGTGAAGCAGGAAATCAATGTACATGATGTTAATAGCAAGAAAAGGAGCGAAGAAACAGCGATCCCATTCGTACGATAATTTGAGGCCCTGTACGATCCAAAATTCGTGGCGTACGATCCATTTGGAATTTCGAAAACTGGATGACCTTTTTTTTTTTTTTAGTCAACAAATTTTGGAAAGGTGCACCCCCACCACCACTACCACCCCTACCACCACCACCACGTACGATCCGTATACGATCCGTAAACGATCCGGTGTTCCATCTCCCTGTGGGCCGCCGTTTTTATCGTTTTCATGATAGGGTTTTGAACTTGATGACTAAAAAAAAAAAAACAAAAAACTAAAATCTCTGGGATCACTGCGAAGAAACGTTGTTGTTATGGATTATGTCGGAGTAATACTCGTAGTAAATCATTCTTGGAGAATTTATATTATTTTATTAGTTTCCCGAAGCCTTGTTTCGAATATTGTCGAAAACTTATCAAATCAACAAAAAAGAAACATAAAAATTTGTCCAAAATGTGCTAAATGTGATTTGTGGGTTAAAAGATGTGGACGCGGTGATGATCGATTCGAAGTGATTGATCATGTAAATAAAGACACATACATTTGTTCACTTCATTTTGAAGGAGAAAGTGGTCCAACAACAGAATATCCTGATCCCGTCAGTTGTGTAAATAAAAAACTAAGTAACAAGGTAATTTAAATCTATTTAATTGTTAATGTGACAGCTCACTATATAACCTCAAGTAATCAATTTTTTTGCAGGTAAAAGTGACAAAGACTTCCTTGGCCGAGAAATATGAACAAATTAATGACGTAAGTGAATTATTTAAAATAATTTCTTTCAGGATAAATTATAAAATTGTCAAAAAAAAAAAAAATATGACGTTTGCTACAAACCTAAAATTAAATTATTGTAATGTTTTAGGAAAGGAATCAAGGCATTGAAAATTCAAACCATTCTGCAAAAAACATAGATTGTACAACTGTCCATAATGTCCTTATTGATGAAAGACAAAATGGTTAAACAACAGCATTTTCATTGAATCAAAATTTCATTCCTACACCAGAATTAAACTTGCCAAATAAAAATTTTGAATTTTCAAGAACTACTGATGCCACGGTGAAAACTGTGAGATTTTAACATTAGCAGAAATTCCTGCAGAAAATGAAACATTGCCAAATATCATATGCAACCAAGGCGTTCAAATTGATATTAAAAAACGGACTAGTAAAAGGACTCAAGTTAATCTACGTCAAAGTTCAGCAATGGATAAATTTGAAGAGTCTATCAAAAATAATATTAAAAAATGTAAATTTTACACAAGCTTGGAGTATCAAGAAATTGTAATTTTATACAATTTTGTTAATCCGGAATATAAAAATGTGTTAAATGAAGTTGATCAGCAGAAGAAAAGTAACAATAGTCATCAAAAATTGACATCAATACAGCAATTGATTCTAGTACTTATCCAGTTACGCGTTGGTACTTGAGTTGAAGATTTAGCTTACAGGTTTGAAATTTCTACAGCTCTAGTTTCTAAAACGATTAAATATTGGATACAATACTTATACGATCAATTTACATGCAATTTAAAGCTGTTTATGTTTCCATCAAAGAAAACACTTTCTGAAACTTTACCTAAAACTTTAAAATTTTTTAAAAATATTACAGTTATTATAGATTATACGGAATTTCAATGTCAGTCACCATCAAACTTTGAACATCAAGGAAATTTATACTCTTCGTACAAAGCTCGAACTACTTATAAAGCACTAATTGGATGTACTCCTAATGGAGGTGTATGCTTTGTATCAGATTTATTCGAAGGAAGTATATCAGATCATGAAATATTTATTAAATCAAATATTTGTGATTTCCTGGAACCTGGAGATTTAGTGTTAGCAGATAGAGAATTTACCGTTCATGATATTGTTGAATTGAAGCAAGCTTATTTAAATATACCACCGTTTTTAAATGGTAGGAAAAGATTATCACCTCAAGAAGAAATGGAGACAAAACTGATGGCAAAACAGCGTATCTACATTGAACATGTTATTGGAAGAATTAAACAATTTCGATTCCTTCAGAAAGTTCTACCTTTAAGTGTACGTTCACTGATGTCCCAAAGTCTTTTTGTATGTGCTTGCTTAGTTAATTTCCAGTCACCGATTGTTATTGATTAAATAGTCTGTGCTTACTTGAGAAAATAATTTAAAACGGAAGATGTGAAAATTGCGTTGGTTCAATAATAACTTGCTAAAAAATTAAGAGTTTATCTTACCAATACCAATTGTAAATAATATACACTTTTCAGTTAACATCAATATATTTATATTTAAATGTTTTAAATTTTGTATCTTCTTTGTAACAATTATACAGTCTTCTAAGTAATATTGTATATTATTTTTAGTACTTATTAATTAAAGCTTTACTTATATAAAAATATATTTACTTTTAATATAATAATAATCATATAAATCACTCAAAAGTGGTACAACAAGATAAATATTTAAAATCATTTAAAAAAAATAAATAATATAAATTAATACGATTAATGCGAATTAATAATAAAATAATACAAATGACAGTGTCGTTGAATTATAAAAATTACTGTCACCTATAATTATTGTAAAATAATTAACTTTTTCTTTAGTTTAAGCTTAGAGATAAATCAAATGGCGCTAAATTTCGCGGAATACGCATCTCGAAATACTCTGGCGCCAAAATGTTTTGATGGAAAATACTTATGTTATGCAATACTGGTTCTATAAAATTTGGATTGTATTTAATTCGTTCTACATAAAAACCTTTCGAGGTCCATATCATAAAATTACACCATTGTCTTCCGGTTATTGCCATCTGCGTCTGAATTTGATGATAATAATACTGATGATTTCTTTTCAATTTCATTGACTTCGGCGTTTGTAAGATACAACAGAACGAACTTCTTTGTTGAGGTGTTAGTGTATGTATATCTGTTGGTTCAATATTTTCTAAAACCTTTGGACACTTAATTTCCAGCAAACCATATGATTTGTTAGGTACATCTGTAACAAGTCCATCTGGGGTAGATCCTATTCCTGGATATTTTGGATTTACCCATAAGCCGCTGCGAGTGACTTTAAACTCAAAATTCTGCGAAATAAAATTTGTATATGTATTCCGTGCTATTTCTTCATGATCGCGACCATACGCCAATGCTAAACTACCAAAATTTTTATCCACCCACAAGTGATATTTAAACCAGTTAAAGATTTGTTCCTCATTTTTTTTCACGCTTAAATATTTTTTTTTTGACGCTGTAATTAGGATTTTTCTATATTATCACCATTTATCACAATCCGATTGATTTTCACTTGTTAAATCTAGTTTATAATTTTCGTAAAAAGGGGTAATCATTAGTTCCCATATACTCGGACGTTTTTTCAGTTGATTAAACATTTGCAATTTATGTACAAAATTTAATGTTTTTCCCACATCTGGTTCTACATTTAAAAGATTCCGAGATCTACTGTTTTTTTCTTTATTATTATTAATATCATGATTATTATTATTTGTGATTTTATACTGGTGGTCAACTTTGTGTGCTTCTTTTTTCTTGGATCCTTGATTCCAAGCACAAAGCTGACTTGTGCAAGCAACATTTTCTTTAAAAGCTTCTTTGCATTGTATTAACACTATATCTAAAAGAGCAGCAACATGTGCACAGCGTCCTAAGCTTGAAGCTTTACATTTACATGTTTCTCGCATAATTTTATCGCTGTCAGAATTAATCATAACTTGCACCGAGTAATTATTTTTTACTTTGTAGGAAGCTTTCACTTTACTTTTGAAACAATAAATATTTTGAGAAATTACGCCATCAAAGATTTCTGTGACATGGTTACTATCAACATATAGCTTCCCTCTTTTCAATGGCTTAATTGTGCTGTAATCTATAATACTTGTCTCATTTTCTTCATCACTAGAATTACAGTCCTTTTTTTCTACAATTCACGATGAAATCAAAAAATCGTTAATGGATCCTTCATTAAAAGATTCGGGTAAATTTTTGGATGGAAATTTATGCCAAACGTCAGGAAATTTTTGGCACGAACTGATGGAAGTTGATTCATGATTTTTTTGTTTCTGTGTTTGAAGCTTCAGCTACTTTCTTTTATCAAGACCTGGATCTATTGGAACTCTGTTATAAAAAGCGTTTTTAACCCTAACAAAATTTTAAAAATTAATATACACCGTAAACTTTATTGTTTATAATTATATGTAATTCTTTAATTAATAATATATGTAGATCAACTTCGTATTAATATAATTATTATCCTTACCTCTCAATTAGTTGAGCTCTATTTCCACCTTGAGGACGACCATGGCACTTCAACCATCGTCGTAACGGAACACAATTGTGGGCTTCTACTGTGGGATGCACTAAAGTTGCACCATCAATTAATTTTTCGTTTAATTGCACTGGTAATAAGGTCAAGGCGCTGAACTTAACGTTAAAAGGTCTATTGAGGAATTATAAATGCATATAATATTTTACGATATTATTATTATTATTATTTTTTTTTTTATCGTGGCAAAAAGTAAAGGCAAATCTTTTATAGACCATAGGCGTCGGCCCTGCACTTGCAGTCTGAGGGTCGCCCCTCGACGTCAAAAGCAGAGCCCGCTCCCGTGTGCTGAACTCTCGTCTCGTCTTTTCCTACAAGGCGCATATCTGCTAACCCCCCCCCTCCCCTGATCATCGATACATCCTTGTCCTGGCGAGGGGAAAATCTACTTCTGTCCGCGTAGTCTTCCGCGTTTCCCCCTAACCAGGGATTACTTTAGTATTACTTCTAGTTGGGGGTCTTGTCCGTGTATCGTTTTGTTATTCGGTCGTACGTCTGTTGTCTCGCGTCGGGTCCGTCATGTCAGGCAGCAATCCGCATTTTTCCTTCTTAGTATAGTCTCCGTATATGTGGCAACTAGTTGCCACCAGTCCTTTCCGTGGAGCATGTTCCACAATGTTGTCAGGGGTGATGTCTCCCACGGTCGTTTCGAGTCTCCGTCTGAAGTCTGTCCAGCGGTCGCATGCGAAAAATGTATGTTTCGCATCGTCTCGTTCGTGTCCACAGTATGTGCAGTTTGGTGTCCGTACTCTGTTCATTCTGTGGAGGTATTGTCTAAAATACCCGTGTCCTGTCAGGAGTTGCGTGACGTAGAAGTTTACGTCCCCGAATTCTCGGTTTCTCCACTGCCTCAGGTCTTTAATAAGTCGTCTTGTCCAGTTGCCTGTTCTTCCTTCCGTCCAGCGCTGTTGCCACGCGCGCATAGTATTGTCTCTTTCTGTCGATGTTACGTCCTGTCGTCTCGTGTCTGCGCTTCTTCCGTAGATCCTCTTGCGCTCAAAAGCAAGCAAGTCTATGGGAATCACGCCTGCCACGACCAGGACGGCCTGCGCGGAGACCGTCCGGTAGGAGCAGGCGATCCTCAGCGCGCTCTGTCTTTGTATCGTCATCATTGCGTGGCAATACTTCTTCGTCATTAGGGAATCTACCCAGACTTCTGCCCCGTACAGGAGGGTTGAGTGGGCTGTCGACATTAATAGTCTCCGTTTCCTTGGTCTGTGTCCGTTCATGTTTGCCATCAGACGACTTAAGGATTTTACCCTTTCGGCCGCCTTCTGGGCTGTCCTCTGTATGTGAGGCCAGAAGGTCATCTTCGTATCTAGGGTTACCCCCAGGTACTTGACTTCCTCCTTGGTCTCGATAGTTTCTGTCCCGACCGTCATGGGTAGTCTCGTCTGTATGCGTCTCCTTGTGAGGATCAGCAGTTCTGTCTTTTCCGTCGCGAGTTGCAGTCCGTGGTCTGTCATCCAACGTCCGACTCGTCTCATTGTCTGGTTCAGTTTTAACTGCGCCAGTTCTGGAGTCCGCTCCACGATCACCGCCGCTACGTCATCGGCGTATGCGACGAGAGATACGTCAAGCGGGAGTTCCAGTCTGAGCATGCTGTCATAGGTCGCGTTCTAAAAGTCCGGTCCAAGGATAGATCCTTGGGCAACCCCAGCGGTGATCTGTCTCGTCGTATGTCCTTCTGTCGTCTCGTACGTCAGTCGTCTGTTTCATAGGTAATCCTTCACCACCCGGAGCAAGTACGGTGGAACCCCGAAAGCGTTTTTAAGCGCTTGCAGAATATCCACCCACCTGGCCGAGTTGAAGGCGTTCCTAACGTCTAGTGTCACCAGCACACGATGGGTCGCGCTGCGTGGCAGTATCTGTCTGTTTCCCGGAAGGTGTCAACGACTTTTTGGATCGCACTAATAGTCGACCGACCCTTCCGGAAGCCGAACTGGCGGTCTGAGAGGCCTCCCCCAGCTTCTATCGTCCCTGTAAGTCTTTGTCTGAGTAACTGTTCGCAAAGTTTTCCCGTCGTGTCCAGTAGGTTCAGCAGCCGGTAGGCCGACGGCGTGCTGGGGTCCCCCTTACCCTTAAGGATGAGGACCAGCCTCGCCACCTTCCACCGGTCGCTGAAGGTCCCTGTCTTTAGGCAGGTGCTGTACAGGTCAAAGAAGATGTCCGGCCTCTGTTTGACCATCAGCCGAACAACCTCCCCCGGTACCCCATCTGGTCCCGGCGCCTTGCCATCCTTCACCGCGTTAGTCGCTCTGAAGAGCTCCTCAGCCGTGAAGGCGTCAACCGACGCTGTCCCGTCTTCGTCTGTTGTTTCTGTTCGCAGTGGGTATGTTGGAAAGAGTCCGTCCACAATGCGTCGCATGTATTCCGCATCCTTGAGTACAGATGGTTCCCGAGCCCCCAGTTTGCCGGCCACTATCTTGTAACCGGCACCCCACGGGTCGTGGTCCACCTCCTCGCAGAGCGTCCTCCAGCACTTTGTTTTACTGTCTCGTATGGCGTTTGTCAGTCTTTTCCGTTCTGTCATGTACTTGGCCTGGAGAGCTTCCCTCTCAGGCCTGCCTTAAGCTCTTGTCACCCTTCTACGTGCTGCGAAGCAACCCCTCCGCAGTTCGGCGATATCGTCCGTCCACCAGTATTGTGGCTGTCTGTTTCGTCTGAGGTGTTTTCTCGGCATCGTGCTTTCACACAGCCGTTCCGTTAGTTTTGCCGTCTCGTCTATAAGTCTTTCCGCCCTGATCCGGCCGGTCAGATCCGGAGGAACGCTGGTGATCGGGGCCGGGGTTGTCGCCAGTTCCTCCGAAAGCCTTTGTATGTCGAGTCTGTTCGTATTCCACTACATTTTTTCTGTACCGTCGCTGTCTTTCTTGTGACCTCGAAGGCGATGTACTGGTGGTCGCTGGCCGTATAGTCTTCGATCACCCGCCATCGCCTCACTTGTGCCAGCAGTCTGTCTGAGGTCATTAACACGTCTGGGATAGAGTTACCGTATCC